GTTCCAATACAATCCATAATTAAGGCCTGTGGCCCAGCAGTGGAGACATTAATAGGCTGATGATGATGAGTAACATAGTGTAATAAAATAATCGGAGAGTTAGCGAACTTCTTTCTTTGCCTCGGCGTAGAGGTCCGGTCTGAATGCCCCCGGAACGATGGCACCAACGGTGGATCCATTTTATTTAAGTATTTTCAATATTTAAGTATTTTCAATATTTAATTAAGTACGACTATATGACCCCCCCCTGGCACCAAAGCCGGATCCGCCCTTGGGTGGCACAGGGTTTTCCCTCTCCCCAACATCTCACCTCATTGTTGCCCCTTCTAGACCACCGAGAAAATATCTAATATTGAACAAATAATTGAGTAAATGAGATTACTCAATTATTTGTTCAATATTAGATATTTTTAATAGATATGTCGTGTGTGTTTGAAGTAGAAGAAAGGCTTATAGGTGTATTTTTCTTGTAAACAACACCTATCAATCTATACTAATACTATAAAGAGGAAAGAAATACTACACTGATTTCAAAAATTATTATCTTTCCATAACAATGCTACATAAACCCTGAGTAACATAGGCAAATAGGCATATGCTATATTTTATCTCGTAAAAATAAAGTTCACCCGTGCGAAGTCAGAGCGGATCGCTAGCTTAATATAAATAAACAGCAGTTGCGTTTCGTTCGTGCAACCGGCACACGACAGTGTTCCTGCCTTCTGCTCCGAAGGCCCCTGTTTGATTGTGTGTTGAGCATTTAAGACGAATAAACTTTTATTTTATACCCTTTAGGACAGAATCCGTTTCCGGCAGATCTCTTTTAAGGCATAATATGTTATAATTATTACAAAAATATGCGTTATTTAGCTTAGAACTAATTAATTGCTGGATATACATCTATCTATTAGTACTTACATAGAATTTCGTCAGTCCAAAAAATTATTGTGGATAAGTAGGTAATCATTTCAACCAATAGACAAGTTAACAATTTATTCGAAAAATAAATAAACTGGATTTTAAAATACATTACTGCGGAAACATTAACACGGGTATGGAATACTACATTCCTCATGCTAATCTGATCAGTAAGGGCACACGTAACCTCTGGTTCAATCACGACTGAGCTGAAGCTGCTTCGCGTAAGCAAGCGGCATATCGTGCTTGGAACAGAGGCCGCGCTCTTAAGGATCCCGAAGTGGATTCACTCATAGCAGCCTACAATTTTGCTTCCGAGGCCTCTAAGAAGGCTTACATCAGAGCGAATGCCCAGCGCGTTGCACGTGTTGGTCAGGAACTTATAACGCATCCTACGGGCTCCCGTAGCTACTGGAGTTTGGCCAATGCCGTGCAGAAGAACTGCCAGCCCTCGCTGCCACCTCTGAGATGCCCAGACGGAACACTAGCTCATAAGACACAGGAGAAAGCCGATTTACTGGCAAAACTCTTTGCGGCTAACTTCCGAATCGATGATTGCAATGCACTGCCACCATCATTACCACATTGTGGCAGAACGATGCCTGATATTAAAATCAGGCAGCGTGTGGTTCGCGCTGAATTGCAGTTACTCGACGGCCGGAAAGCTAGTGGACCTGATGGCATCCCAGCAGTTGTACCTAAAAAAATGTGCAGCGGAGTTGTCTCCCGTGCTCACACGCTTGTACCAAAGCTCGTATTCTTTGGGGCGTGTGCCGGAGTCTTGGAGAGATGCTAACGTGCAGCCGATGCCCAAAAAAGGGAATCGCTTAGACCTGGCCAACTACCGGCCAATAGCAGTTACCTCAGTATTATGTAAAGTCCTAGAATAGGTTCTTAACAACCACTGCCGGATTTAGGGGAGGGCAACCGGGGCGAAAGCCCCGGGGCCTCCACAAACGGGGAGCCCCCACAATAGAGACTTCGGAAAAAAAACCTTTCAAATTCCAACTAGTAAACATCTTTTCCTTTGATATTTTTTTTTTGCTCTTTTACCTTTACCCAGGGCCGAATTTAAGGCAGGGCAGGTGCGGCTGTGGCCCAGGGGCCTCCACAACAGCTTAAGAAATAACAACATTTCGATGGGTCAATAAGCATACAAATCCTAAGTGGCCCGGGGCCTCCACAAACCTAAATCCGGCCCTGATAACAACCATCTAAACCGCTACCTGGAGGATCACTCTCTAATTAATGATCGTCAGTATGGTTTAAGACCAAAATGTTCTACGGGTGATCTTCTGGCGTACTTGACTCATATCTGGGGTGAGGCTATCGACAAGCGTGGCGAGTCGTTGGCTATCATAGACTGAGAGCCAGTGTTCCGCAGGCTTACGGTATAGTAGAAAACTCCATAATAATGCTAGTTATACTAATTCATCTGCCATAGATCAAATGGGGGTTCACTATTCCCATAGAGGGTTCGTTCCTTTAAACGTGCCTAGAAGTCGAAGAGCATGAAAATCAACTTTCAAAACGTGATCGCAGTATGTCTGCAGTTTTGATATCTTAAAATATTATTTTTTTATATAGAAAAACTTAACGGCAGTCACTTGTTCCGGTTCGTACTATATTTTATATAATATCATAGTTTCCAAAATTTCATAAAATTTGTGTTATTTTAGCAAAGCTAAAAACTTTGCTATTATATGCTATTTATATTATTATTATAAATATATATTTACAAAAACAGACCCATAGGTTGGATCTGACATGCGGGCAGATCACACGATACTTTCGCAATCGTGCTATTGAAGTTGCATGATTTTCTCACTCTTCATTTCAACACCAATTCCCACTGGTGTTTCAGCAAAGCTGCAATTTATGTATGTTTTTTACATCATAATTACACATTTAAAAAACCAGACAGATAAGTCGTTTCTAAATTGCAGGCAGACTACATAATAGTTTCGCAATCATGCTACTGGAGATACACAATATTGACTCTCTCTCTCTTCATCTCGCAGGGGTTCAGTATTCAAGCACCGTTGTAAATACGATGGACAAGTTTTGTTGAATATTCGCTATTCATTTCGGAACCTATTTGATTATTGATTCCAAAGATGCTTGCCAAAGCACGAAGAATATCCTCTACGCTGTTAAGTGTCGAACCACGAGATCCCCGTTGAGGGATTTCACCGCGTCTCCGCACCCGACAGCTTCTCGGCCCAGCCGGGGCTCCACGGCAGGGATCGCCCGGAGTATCTCGGGTGATCCCTTAGACGTGCGCAAAGCATCTTTGGATACGTTACAGCGGCGCGCGATCCTGTTCGCGGAAACCATTTTAATGTTTGATTTATTCATGTGTGTGTATATTAATTTATCATATATGTGTGTATTGTCAATTTTTATTTTAGCCTAACGACCAGACCTGGCTTCGGACAGGTAATATTTATATTTAAATGTTCTTATATATACGAACATAACAAAAAAAAATATAATATAACGAAATCATTCTCAAATAATGCTTTTTCATCTATGTTTCAAGAGATATCTATTTGTTTACATAGATATTGGTGTTGATTCTGACATGATTCTCTAAACCTAAACTTAAATTTGACAATAGTGTACAACATATCCTTATCATTCTCTAAACAGAATGAAAAGGAGATACATACTGATGTTAAATTTAGTTTTAAACTAAGAGAATCGTGCTAGAATCGACGCCATTGATTGCAAAATCTGATTAAAAAATTTCACAGATATGAGATACATAGTCATCTGCATTAGAATGTGGTATGCTTTAATTGCTTTAAACACTGGAAATAAAAACATATTTTACGTTTTAAATTTTATTACTTAATATTATTGTACAAATTTTAATGCTTTGCTGTAGTATAATAAAGTGATACGGTGATGGCAATGCGCAAGTCAAAACAGCAATGATTTTTAACAGTAGGCCACTTATTTGGAACCTTACACAACGCATTTGCTAGGCGTATATGCTTCCTTCTATTTAATGTATTTAGATTCTTATCATGGTTGATTTGTCAAATATGATTCCAATTGCTTATTAAATTCACAATAAGCTCACAAAGAAACGTAAATGAATGCTATGGTCGTTTACCATAATTACTATCGCGCAATGACTGCTAACATTACAACTTTTAACAGCACCACCAATACATATTTATATATTTCGACAGTCCATTTGCTCCCCAAAGATTTTTACCTATACATTATACACATATCAGTTTCTTGTTTCCAAAAAATATTATGTGACATTTTAAATTTTTACATTGAAAATAATACCAACTATTATGATACATTGTTATTTGATACACAATTAGGTAATATTTATTTTAAATTTCATGATGCTATCTAATCAAACACAAATACAATCGTAGGAATGTTAATATAGAAACAAGACTGGATTAACAAGAAACAGAATTGTCAGTATGGACAGCACGTTAGGTGCGTACCTACACAAGATCTTTAAAAAAATATTTTTACATTCAGTATAAGTTATAAATAATAATAAAAAAGCACACCGAACACAAAGTGTATTACTTCGACAGCCTATTACCACAAAAAAGGACATCATACATTAAACGATATATTATTCTGAAAACAATAACTGAAAATACCATTAGTACAAAGTGAGTATACAGATAACATACAAATTGTGCAACGAGGTCGATTAAAAACATCTTTTTTGTATTATATTGATCATGTTTCATCATATTTGGTTCCCTGACATAATGTTTGTAATTATAGAGATAATAATCTGAAAAGTAGGTCTTATATTGTGAATTTGCTGTACGCCTTACTTTTCACTATTATGTTACTCTATGTGAGAACAATTAGTTTTTTTTAACCTAAAAAACAACATTTCTGTACATATTTATTGGTAAAATTAGGCAAACTTCTAACGTTCTTAGTTATGAACTTTGTGTAAAATCTTTATAAATAAATAAAAATGCAATGCTCAAATATATATAGCATTATTTCTTTACAGATTCATATTAATTGGAAAATTAGGCAAACTTCTAACGTTCTCAGTTATGAACTTTGTGTAAAATCAGCAATAAGTATTTGTAATTGTTTGTAAATAAATAAAAATGTAATGAGATAATAATATGACACCTTCAATAAATAAAGCATTATTTTTTACTGATTCATATTGTGCTTGGTAAAAATAAGACCAATTTCTAACGATCTCAGTTATGAACTTTATGTAAAATTAGCAATATGTGTACCCACTTCAAACAACGGGTTCCTTAGTTCGACAGTTTACATTAAAAGACAAATCTTATTACAGTCGATTGCGTGTATTCAGTTATATAGTCGATGTTCGTTCACCAAGCGTGAGATTGGTGTTCAACATTAAGTTTCCGAAAGTTATCCATCCATTCAGGACAAGGTGTTATAAATATAACTATGAATTTAGTTAGATAACTAGGTTAGAAGGTACACGAATAATTTATTATGCTTGATGATAAGTTTTTCTAAGTATTTTTTTTGCAGGTTACACCTTTTTGTGGTGGCTTTACAATATGCAGGATTAAGTCAGATAGTTCTAGTGATTAAATCGCAATCGTATAAGACAAGGCCGTAGTCAGGGCATTATAGAACCGAAGCAATGGCATCGACTTCTGAATAATTACAGCCTAGACTGTATTTAAGTTTAAACACAACCCAACAGAAACTAAAATACCGCGAATCCACCGCAAGAAAACATTGATGCAACGCTTACATTCACTTTGAATTTAGTTCAAAGATAATGTTTGACAGGACACGAAGGATGACGATGTTGCCTCGATGGGCATTGCCTTACGGCTTGGTACATGTTCGCAAGGATATGCACATCAGCCCCCATATCCATAGAAGATTGGAAATGTTTTCAAACTCTAAAGTTATGCTGTGTCCAGTGATGTGCCGCTGTGAATACACAAAATTCCAAATCACATGCTCATTGCACATTTACAATTTTATCGCGAATATAAAAAAATATCGCTAAAAACATTGCAAATTCTCAGGACAGCACAACACTAGCTGCGTCATAGTTGCTCTTTTGTCATTTCACAACCCGAGTCTCTGAACAGGGAGGGGCAAGTCGGGACCACTGTTCCGCTATAAGCTAACTTGTTTCCTTTAAGATTTCAAAAAACGTTCAAACTTAACATTATCATAACATTACAATAAAATAACCAACTATAGGAACAATAGCTTTTGAATCAATTTAATCGATAAGTTTTTCATTGGGATGATTGTTATGTCTCGTTTATTTGTGACGAGCGAACGGAGTCCGTATTTGATATGTAGTTAAAGACTCGTCGATTTGGCGACTGATGATCGACTCTGTGAAATATCGATTGACAGCGGAACGGTGTCCCGAAGAATGTGAAATGATAAATAGTGTGTTATATATACTTGTAATTGTTTACGAGCCGAACTTGAATTTGGTCGGGACTTGCGCCGGTACTGTGAACGCGTAACCTGCAAATGATTTATTCAGTTATTAAAGTTACGATATACATATCACCATCAGAGCAAGTAGACAAATGTAAGCGGTAAATACGAGCGGTAAATCCCTTATTGGAACGCCCATTTAGTGAAATATAATCACTTATGTGAGAACATAGAATAGAGAAAAATGACATGTAAATGGAGCGGCCACCAGTGAAATGTTTTGTTATTGATCAGTTCGTCGATTTTGTAACATGCAACCTCACTTGATTTCGTAGGTTCGCAGTTTTGACAATCGTCAACAGTCATTGCTACATTTTGTCGTTTAATTACGTACTATGCATTACATTCGGAGAGTAACCATAGATAAGTTCGTTTTATTAATTGTTTTATATTAAAGCAATTAATGTACGATGTATCTCGACGTACGATGCAGAGGTTTAAACCGGTTAACGTAGTGTGGTTAATTATGATACGACTGAGTGACAGAAGCTCGATGGCGCAAGTGGTTAGCGCGTTCAGATGCGATCGTTGAAGTTGAGTATCTTTCGCAGTGGTGGGTCATCGGATGGGTGACCAAAAAATTTGTTATCTCGAGCTTCTCCGTGCTTCGCAAGGCAAGTATAGCCGTTGCATCTGCAGTCATTAGCACCCACCAATCCGCACTGGGTCTGCGTGGTGGGTCGTGGCATAATCTCCCTATTCCATCCATAGGGAAGGCATGTAGCAGTGGGGGCATTAAATAGGCTTGTGGCGGCGACATCTACATGCTTCACATATAATCAACATGGAGGAAATATTCACTCGCCTCCTCAAGAGAAGGCGCTACCGGCGTTGCGATCAATACGTATGGAAGCCTAAGTCGCGCAAGTAAAATTCGGAGGCCCATATATACGATGCCCGAGCAACGTCAGTCGGGGCGCGAACCCCGAGCTACCATCATCCAGCTCGGAGGAAGATCTTAATGAGAAGAATATGATAATGAGACTGACTCACCTCCGCTCTGTTCGATGCGTTTGCTGTCCTTTTGCGCCTTGCGTTGGTCGGCAAGCACGAACACCGCCTTCAGCTGCTGCTGCTGTTCGGCGTTGAGGACGCTCGTCAGCGCGTGATACAAGGCAGGCTCGCTCGTCGACAGACCTACGAAAACGAGACTGGTATTTTACAAAACAAACACGAGCGAGAATTACAGTAGCTTACGCTTATGATGTGTAACATTTGAAACCTCACCTTATATTAGTAAAAAATGAATAAACCCTACTACAAACGGCCTGTTACACACTTCCGTCCCAGTTTACGAAATCACTGGCACAAATTGCAGGAAAGCGAGAGGAAAGATGATACACATCAAAAAAGCCCTGGAAGCTATAGAATATACTCATAGACAATGAAACACAACCAGATGGCTACAAACCTCAGAACATCGCCGTCTACTTGCGTGTCTGAATGTTTAAGTACTAGGTTACGTTTCGGGGAGTGTGCATAATTATTATTTATTTTGAAATGCTTAGTGGGAAACCTGTTGCAAAAATAGCTGTTTTGTTATGAGTGTGAGTATTTTGCGTCGAAGCCCTAGTTAATTTTCTAGTCAATCGGTATATCTGCTGTGTAATCAGTATATTTGATATAGAAAACATATTTCTGTACAATTAAACAAGTTTTTTGTTACTACAGATTAGATATATTTATTTGAATTATTTTCAGAATTAGTTATGTTAAAATATGTGTTTGTTTGCAGTAAAATAATTATTTTCATGTATTTAATTGCTGTAAATAACTTGATGGGTAATAAGTTATTTGCTGTGCATTTAAAAATATCCCATTTTAAAATAGCGAGCATTTTTAAATGTACGGATAGTAAAAAGCGGAATCATACAAATTGCCTGCGACATATATATTTACCCGACAATGTGTTCTTGAACTTGATGTACTCGTCGACGGGACAGTCTTTGTCGTCGAGGGGCGTGGTGTAGCACTCTATCGCGGTCTCATCAGGCTCGTAATCTTCGTCATCCTACGTACAACAATCAATACGTAACTACAGACACTTGCATGTAATACCTCTCCCATACCAGCGCGATGAAGCTGCTTATAGTGCTAAAATTTGCGTCTAAAATTTATGCCTAATGCGTAGTTTTACGCTTTTTCAACCGCACATACAAAGGAGATTGCTCAGCTTCCATACATGTTTGGCCTAAAGACCAATAATCATGAAAGATTGTTTCCTAGATTCGAAATTATATATAAATTACTGTAGAAACGAATATTATTGACGGACACCCTTGAGAACTTCTATAAACCATATATACTGAACATATTAAAATAATAAATAATAAAAAATAGTAAACTAGGGAAATCGAACCAAGTACCGAAATTATAGATTAGATTCAGGTATATAGAGCATGTAGATTAACAGATAGTTTCCTGTTTTTAAAGTTAATGCATAAGAGTCACTTTTAAAATCAGGTGTAATTTCCGGTTATAATAAGGTACTCTGTGACAGAAACTGTGTGATGATTGTGAATGAGCCACAGATTAGAGAGCATTTTTAAACTCTCGTTAGCCAAAGAAAGCTAAGAGATTTAGGTTCTATAGCCATATATTCAGTAGCTTCATTATTTTTGTTGTTTTTAAGATAACCATATTTTAGATTTTTAGTGTATCACACCTTATAATTTTATTTATTTATTAATTTATAGTCAGGGAACGTAGGCCCATAGTTAGATACCTTAAAGTCTAACATATATACAGATTATAATGTGTTTATGGAGGTGTTTGGCGAAAAATGTATGGCAATAGACTTTATGATGTCGCCTACCATCTATAATAATTGTCTGAGCACAATTGCACCTAGTGAAAATGATAATATAGTTGTGGATATTAATACCACAGTGTAATAAAAAAATGATTTATTTTATCGATCTTTACAAAATAGATTTGTTTTTATGTTATATAAACAACTTCGATCAGTCTTTGGCTGAATGTTACTACACCCATAGCTATTAAAAATGATTCGTATGTTTTCCAAACCGGTAAAATTAAAAGTCCTTTTTAAAGTAAATATATTATACAAAGGTGTCCGTTGAAATCTAATGACTGTAAATTAAATTATAAATTACGCCAAGAATTACCGTGTATGTCAATATTTTTGTGCATTTAGGCCAATTTGAGCAATCTCGTTTATCGTTCCTCATAAGCCCTTTGATGCGTGTCAAAAACCGCCGTTCAAGCTAGCGTCTATCGTTACGCAACCCCATAGTTTGTTATGAAAGCCGCTAATGACTATCCACATCTGCGTTTACCATGTTCATAAACGAAGCTTCGTGGCGATAGACGCAGGATTGGGGAGGCATAAATTCACCATTTTTGGGAATCATGCTTCTTACAAGCATTGTAAAAAGCATGATTCCCAAAAATTTAGAGTTTAAAATTGATCAATAACATTGCTTATACATAATACACAAACATACATTGGCCAACTTTTTTCAGACTCTGAACAGCTCTGCTTCTGCGGAAACGCAGCCTAACTTGTGATGCTACACATAGAATAGATCGAAATAGATAACGGAAGACACACAGACATAGATATTATGCTGTAAAAACTATAGAAATGAAACGGGTAGCTGAGGTCCATGATTTACACCATTTAATTTGTTATCCTGAGTACTTAAGCATTATCAGCATACGTGTGCTCCAAAAATCGTAACGACGGTCGGTATTCATACAATAGGGAAGAAAAAGATCATGGCAGGTGGCACTTTGGCTATTTGGCCCATAACACTTCAAGGCTACGTTTTAAATCTACCCTCTGGGTGCAACATTTTACCCTGCCGTTTCAATTTTGACAAAAAATGTTGACATTTGTTGCATCTTGAGCATAGGTTTGGAATTCAGCCCAAATCTATCGGAATTTGTCGGTTTTTCCTTGAGACTCTGACAGCTGTCTCAATTTAGTGTTATGGGCCTTTCAACCATAGAGGTATAAGAATAGTGTAGGGGAGATATAGACTCCAGTAAAAGTGGAAGTGTCCCTCTAATAGAAAGAGAAAGATGAGAGACCGCTAGCTTTTCTCTCTAATCGTGCATGCGCATTGGCAACCGTAAGAATCTTACTATTTCGATTAGATGCCATGCGTCACAAGAGAGAGAGATAGCTAGCGGTCACTCATCTTCTTTCTCTTTCTACTAGACGGACACTTTTAGAGTCGCCTTCGCCACTCTATTCTTATACCTCTATCTAGATCTGTGGTGCTACTAAATAATATGTACTTACTGGATCGTCGCTCTCGTAGTCTTCTATTTTGGCAGTCATATTGACGCCCTGCGCGGCGCTCGATTTGGTCGCCATACGCGCGAGGTGCTCCAAGTAGTCGCTATTGGCGTCCTCTAAATCGTCCTCGTCACTGGACAGGATCTCTATGGACATAGGATAAGATATAAAATATTTATCACACACATCATACAGTAGGTATAATTACAATTGGTTTTGATATTTATATGTAACAGAAAGTGTGTGATCTGCAGCCTAAACTAGGGCGACCCTTACCCTTAGTACGAGTTCGAGCTCACGAAAACTATCAGTTTTCATAATTGTAAATTATGTTTCTATGTCCATTTTGGTGAAAAATATACTTAAAATTAAGAAGACACAAATGATTTAATATTAGAATTTAAACAATATTTTGTATTGAAACGAAAACAATAAAATTAGTACCCTTAGTACTAACGTGCGAGCTCACGAAAGCTATCATAGGTTTCGTAATAGGGAAGATGCAAATATAATATTTATGAAAATTTTATGATTAAAATGTTAAAATAATATAAAAGAAAGGCTACTGCAAGGTTTTTATTTTATATAATGTTGTTTTTTAACAATAATTACGAATTAAAAATTACTTAAAAAATACGTATTTTAAAACACCAATCAGAGTTTAGTGACGTCACTCCTGTTAAGACAACTTATCTGAGGTTATGGTTGTCAAAGTGAATATTATTTAATGGGAATATTAATTGATAAAATAGCGATAAAAAGTGTTTTTTGATAAAAATGGAAGTTGGGTTTATTAAATCAGACTCCAGGAATTTACCAAGAGTGTTGACATGGTTGCAAAGTGCAGAGTTTTCAAGTGTAGAAATGAAAGTGACTAAATTACTACGGTATGTATAAATCATAGGTATTAAACTTTGTATTTTATTCAGCGGCTTCTACACATAGCAGTTATTTCAGCTCAACAAGAGAATCTTACGGCGATAACGCAATCGGCTATGTCCAAATTAAAAGAGATGGAGAATTATGTATAGTAAAAAGTCGAGTTACTCCGGAGCATAAAGTACGTAAAGAAAGTTATCGTGTTACAGTTATTTTAAATTAAACGCAAAGCTTGGTTCAGTCCTGCCAATGTGTAGAGTGTGCCACACATTTTAAACTTTATCCTATTTTCGACGTCATTCTCCAACTGTAAAATTAAAAATATGTTATAGACAGGTTTTGTAAGTATTAGGTAGGTTACTAATGCGTTTTTACGTACAAGGAGATTAATAAAGCATATAACAAGTATATTCGCCGTCTTACGTCAAAGTGATCTTCACAGCATCGAATAATGGTCTTTGGAGAATAATTGTCATTTCTCTTCGCAGCTTGAAACCACTTTTTTCTTAGTTTTGGGTCAATTAAATTAATTCAATCAAAAGTCAAAAACAATTTATTTGGAAATTTTGTTTAAGTAGATGGGCACAAAATTGACTCATGGTCAACACGGCTTTTTTTCGGAATATTAATGGTATTGTTATGATCACCTGATGTTGATGGATAGTCCATTTAAAATTTTTACCAAGAAATATCTCGAAAGTCGAAAAAATATGCAAAAGTATTAAAATTGAAAGCCAGCGACGAACAAGTACGACCAGTGTCACTACAGACAGAAGTGACGTCATCGGAACCATAGGTCTGTTTTCGCGCGAAAAGGAGATTGCTCAGCTTCCATACATGTTTGGCCTAAAAACCAATAACCATGAAAAATTGTTTCCTAGATTCGAAATTATATATAAATTACCGTAGAAACGAATATTATCGACGGCCACTCCTGAGAACTTCTATAAACCATATACACTGAATGATTTTGAGGTTATGTTTGCAAATAGGCACATAGGTATTAGAATAATAAAAACCAAATAACTTATATAGGAAAATAGGGCAATCAAGCCAAGTACCGATATTATGTATTAGATTCAGGTATATAGAGCATGTAAAATAACAGACAATTGCCTGTTTTTAAAATTAATGCACAAGAGTAAGTTTTAAAATCATGATTATGCCATTGCGACTTTCAGAAGCAATCTTGTTTCATTTGACAAGTGTCTAACACTAATTACACTAACAAAATGCATGTCAAGGAACTGGTACCTGCTTACCTATGTTATGAGAAACATGGAACTGTTATCATAATTTTATAAAAACCAATAGGATATTTTCTTAGTAATAATTAGGTTTATAATGGTAAAAGGTAATTCTAATGTAATAATATATTGCGTAGGTTCATGATAGTTCTGATCAATGTGTGAAATATGTATATTCCTGACATAGCTTAAATATTCTGATAAGGTAAATTAATGAAATAAAACAACTTAAGTACTTTTATGTTGCGTTTAATATTACATATCATCTACATTTTGAATTAAAATATCATCGAAATATTTTATCAATCTTTACAAAATAGATTTGTTTTGATGTTATATAAACAACCTCGATCAGTCTTTGTGAATGTTACTACACCCATAGCCAATAAAAATGATTCGTATGTTTTCCAAACCGGTAAAAATAGAAGTCCTTTTTTAAAATTAATATATTATTTAAAGGTGGCCATTAAAATCTAATGACTGTAAAATAAAGTATAAATTACGCCAAGAATTACTGTATATGTCAATATTTTATTTGCATTTAGGCCAATTTGACCAATCTCCTTTAAACTGTCAATTTAAAACCGCATTTTTTCCGATAAATTACAATGTTTTAATTTTTTAATATATCTGTGGTTTATTCTACATGGGATTCTTTAAAATGTAAACAAAAATAAAAATATTGCATCTTCCCTATTCGTACTAAGGCTACCTGTATTTCAGGACTCCAGGTCCCACCCGCGAAACGAATGGGTATTACCCATCGTAATTATAACGATTTGACTTGGCATTTTTTACATTTCTACCATAAGAAATTATTACAGAGGCCTAAGCACGAACATTTGACAGCTCCGTAATCATATAGCATCGTCAATTTTTATATGAAAACTAAGCAGCGCTCCTACCGGACGTAAGGACAAACTGGCTCGTTTTATACAAAATTGGACGATAGCGATAAGATTACGGAGCTGTCAAAGTTCGTGCTTGGGCCTTAATATTCAACTGCTAGATTTTTCAACATAAAGAAAATAATTTTACTCAAAATATTAATGTGTAATACCTACAGAAATGAGACAAAACGACGAGCATCTTTATTTTTTAGTAGTAACCCCTTACTTTAAGGAGCGTAAAGGCCAAGTGGCTGACGTGATCACGGTAATTAAGCGACATTCGCAATGGCTGTTCATAGGATGGGTGACCAAAAATTTGTTATTTCGAGTTTGCCCGAGCTTCAGAAAGTTGGTTAAGGCCATCTGTAGTCGTTAGCATCTACATAGGCTGCGTCTGTAGACCTTCCGCTATGAGCGATAGTTCAGAGAGATGCGTTGAGCAATGAGAAAAAAAACTGAAATCAAAAGAGAATCTTACTAGAAACAGAGTGTCTTTTTTTATAGTAAAATTTTATAGCGCAGATCGCTACGCCAAAAGTCGTGGCCGTAGCAGTCATTTCAACCCTGCGTCCAACACACGCACAAATAAAAATATATGGTAGTTACGGCGGCCACTAAGCCACTAGTGGCTTCGATTGGTGGCTACATCGTGGCTTGACTGAGCCACCAACGGCTCCATGTTGCTGTTGCTCTTAAAAATCCGTATATATAATAGACAAGAGTTCCGACCTTCACCGTCCTCTTCGTCGTCTTCATCAGAGGAAGAGTCATCGTCTCCTTCCGCTCTCGCCTCGTATGCGCGTTTCAATCCGTCGAATAGCACCAAGCAGGAGGGCAATAGTTTAGGTACTACCTCCTCCAAGTTAGGCCGCTGGGGCCCCATCTCTAGAAGCGTGCATATGCCGAGCACGCACAGTTTCCTATCGTGTAACCTGGTGAAGGATATTTTGATGTTGTCACTCAGGATAAAAGGAACATTTTTATTATAAAACGTTGACTGAATTTTATCCAGTATAATATTCGTAGCAAACATATCAACGTACAGGTAAGGGATTGTCACCATATCAACTCGAGCCGTTCAGTATACTTAGAATGTAACTTAATCGCCTCACCTTGAGATAAGCTTCTTACCTAAGTGTGTGGTCAATTTTCCGTACCCTAGCTTATGTATGTCCGTAACCCAGCTTACATCTCTCCGTAACCTAGCTTACGTCTCTACGTAACCTAGCTTACGTCTCTACGTAACCTAGCTTACGTCTCTCCGTAACCTAGCTTACGTCTCTCCGTAACCTAGCTTACGTCTCTCCGTAACCTAGCTTACGTCTCTCCGTAACCTAGCTGATGTCTCTCAATAGCCTAGCTTACGTCTCTTCGTTCATGCCCTTCCCGCGGTTTGCGTTGCCGAACGTGCTGTCCATACAGAAAGTAACCACTCGTTTTAAGCGTTGACTCTCAAAACGGATTATTTTTTCTATGATTGATCGAATTGGTGCCACCTAGCCGTCAACCCGTGGTCGGCAAGCCGTAAGCGCGGCGTCGCCTAGACGATCCGAACGTACTGGAGCCGCATATCCGCTTACGTTACATGCTTACGGTAGGTGGACGCCTGTTTGACGGCAATCCGAAAGATAAGTTTTGATTGAATTTGTATGTATCAAAAAGTTTTTAATAAATCTATGAATTACTTTCTACAACAGCGAACTATATACCACTGAAACTTTTGAAATTAATATCTCGAAGCGAAACCTCAATTTTATGTTGTTTAGACAATACTGACCCCATAAAGCAATCTGTGTCGTGTATCCATTGCTTGATGAAGTGTTGTGTGATGGAAGCGTTAGGCACCGCCTCCTGCAGCTTAGCCAGAATTGTGAACAGGAGGTGCGGGTTGCAGTACAGGATCGCTATCAAAACCTGTCCATGGAACAAAATAAACTATAGGAAAACAATAAAAAAAAAATGGGTGCGTGTACTTATGTAGGCGCGTGAGAAGTTATCCTTCTTTGGCATCGTTTAAAATTAGTTTATAATTGCATGCAAATAATTAATTACAATAAATTAATAAAAAGTCTGGAAAAGGACACAGTCAATAAAGTTCAGTTTTAATTTGAAAAAATAAATAAATAATCAAAATATTCAATTAAAATCGCTACTGAATATAATTTATTAGAACATATGTGATTTTCACTTGTATGAAACTCAAACACGTATTCCGAATATACAAACTAGAAACATGTGGATAAATATTATAAATATGAATACCTATAACTGTTACTTTATTACAAAAAATAAAGATGTGGTTTTTGGTTCTACTACACCAATGGTCAAGAGATGGCGCTGTAGTCTCCTGAATAGCGCTTTGGTTCCGTTGTTCCAGATTAATAAATACTTTTGATAGGCCTTCACAATGCAGTTGTTAGCACCAACTAAATAGAGATTTTATTTCTATTTTGTTGGTAGATTTTCTTAATGTGCGGTAAACACAAAAGTAACAGCATGAAGTTGAAGTAGTTGAAGATCAACTTCATGCTGTTAAAAATTTGTGTTACAGTGGTGCGCGCGCATCTTAAAATTTCACTCTCATCATTTTTTCATAACGCGCCTAAAGAAGTATAACTTCAATAATAATAAAATAAATCATAAATAATAATAATATAATTACACACGGAAATAAGTAGTCTAAGCGATAAAGACAAAATATAAGTGGTTTCCTCGTTTATTTGCTGTGAAAGGTGCGAAAATTACTTATATTACTTCTTTCACCAAATACTTTGACTCTCATCATTGGACCAGCCATTACAAAAGTTAACTTCCACGATCGTTTAACTAACACTGTGCCTTTAAGACCTCGTAAGTACTTATGGGTCGGATTTTCATGAATATTGCGTATACTTAGCTCTAATCGCATGTATTATGAATCACAATTTAAAAAACATTTTGCTATAGAACAACGGAGAACGGACACTCAAGTATTTGTCACCTCTTTCTCTTCACAAACAATAGGGATGACGACGGAGTAAACGAAATTCTATTTAGTCTGTCGGTTACCTTATCAAAAGATAATGGACACTTATTTCTTCTTTTGTCAATCAACGTGACGTCACTTCTAAGTGAAAATTGTGCCAAGGCGTGACGTCATGCGATATTTCAAATCACTATATCGCGGTAATGTTATGATTATGTGAAAAAAATACTTGTCTAATACTTGATAATCTACCTGATAGATGAAGTAAAAAAAGTTAGTCATCATCCCTATTTTAGATTTACACATAACATGCAGGGTTCAGGAGTGTCAAAGGATCTCATTCCTTATTATTCAAGAAGTTTAAGACGTTTGCTGGTCTGTACAGGCCTGATCCGGCTAGACATAACATTGTAGGAGACATGGCAGGCAAGATTGCAAGAAATGGTTCACAAAAATCTTATTCAACGAGGTTACAACCTTCGGGATTAAGGAAAATTAACAAGAAGGATTCATTGTTATATTTCTAAACTAGTCTTTATGTCTAGTTGTTCGAGACAACTTTGATATTACAGGCAGTCTCCGTACTTACGGCATGTTAGGTTCTCGAAATATGCGACGTAAACCGAATCGACGTAAGTCGACACATATTTTTTCATATACATGTAAAACTCAAGGCTAAGGGTCCACACGGACTCAAAATGTCTTGTTTAGTTGGCATATTTAGATTAAAATTCACTTAAATATATATGTAAAAACAAAAACTGACCAAAAAAACTAATGAATTACCTCTTGATTGTCCGTTGTCTCTGAACTACCTAAACACATGCAAACGCTGCATTTCGTCTCACCTGCAGCAACATAGTCCTGAGTTCTGAGGTCTTCACTTTCCTTGTGAGCCGGTTGAGCACGAGCTCCACAAACGAAGGCAAACAGTTGTTGATCTTGCCAGAGCACTGCAGCACCATAACTTCTAGAAGCTTTGCAGCTATCATCTCCGATTCGTCTTCCGCGTCAGAATTCAGCACCTGGCAGAAGTAAAAATTACTTTTTTTTTAAAGGATATATTAAGGAAACATATTGATATGATATTCAAAAAACTTCTAAATGCACAGGAAAAACTCAGGTGAGGTTTTTTTATTTGCTTTGCACCCAGTATTTTGTTTAATTAAAATATGTAAGTACGAAACTTAGTTAATAAAAGATAAAGTTTTTAGTTTTTTTCGAAGTTTATAACTTTAGATTGATTTAATCTAAGGATAATAATTCAAATACAAACCATTTATTATTCGGATAACATAGATCATAATGACCAGCTGACCAGCGCGTGTCGGCGCTTATCGGGGCTGATCGGCGCTGGTCCATAGAAAAAGGATCAGCGCCGATAAGCGCTGATCGGCTTTCGGCTTTCTTTCTGTATACGGCCTAAGGGATGGGGTAGGCGACGTTCGAGTAATACTTGTATCGCAAGCGTTATCGTCGCTCACCGTCAGGCAGATTATAAAAATATAGTAGTTTGCAACCGGTTTTGCATTAACAAAAAACATTCGCAGAGGACAGTCCAGCCATAGTGAACAGAATTTTTTCAAAATATGATCTTATTAGGTTTCACTTTGTTTACTTATTATCATTTTGTTATTAAAACTGACTCATTAAATTTTCAAAGCAAAAGAGCTATGTTTGTAATAAATTAAATATATTAACATCTGAATTTATGTAAAATTCTAACATCTCTTATCTATTAGACAAGTCCGTCCGTCTGTGGTGCTGTTTAAGCGGCCAAACCGTAAGAGATAGATAAAGAGAATATTTAAGTCATAAGTTAAGAATAGTCTGATAAGACTACAAACTGGATTTGAGTAACGTAGCACTTCCGGTTTTCGAGAAATCTCGAATTTCAAACGAAACCACACAAAATCTCCGAAGTTCTCAATTAATTAAATACATTTTTTTTAAATCAGGTTTTGGTGAACATTTGGTTCACTGGTTTGCTAGTTAATTTATATTTGAGAAGCGGGCACATCGGATTAGGCGTCGTAGATATCTAGCGTCTACAAAAATGGTATCGAATTGTTGTAGTACTGCGATTTTAATTATTGCCAAAACTCGTTTCAGCCCCTCTAGCATGACCACCGAAACGGGATATGATAAAGCGATATATCGGCATTAACTGTCAGACTACAGTAGAGTTTGACAGTAGTCTGACAGTTAATACCGATATATCGCTTTATCATATCCCGTTTCGGTGGTCATGCTAGAGGGGCTGAGCAATGTATATTTGCAATATCATTATAATATTTACTTTAAAATTCGCATTGCACTTGCTTTTGGCTTAAGCTAGTAGAAAAAGAAGAATGATTTGCCAATAATGAATAGTTTATTAAAACTAAGAATAAAAGATATACACACAATTAATTTATATGTCTGATCTCTGAAATAATATAAAAGTACATTTACATTTTTTTTTACGTTTTTTGCATTTTCTACAAAAATCAACAATAATGAAAAACAAATTCAAACACTGGGAAAAGCAATTACCTTCTATACCAACACCTTATCTATAATTATATAGTTAAAATCAATAATCAGCTCCATAAAGTTTCTGATGTCACAGAAATGAGTTACTTCATCAAACTAATTTACTTTTATTATTAAAAACGATTTACTGTTATTAATTTCCTAACGTGTGCTATAAGTTATAGACGAGTAGATGTAATTGTTTATTATATTATGCTCAATAAATAAGTAAAATTATAGAAGCACATCATATAATAATAATGTTTGTAAAATAATCATAAAGTCCCGTTATAAGTCTATATAAACAAAGCGGAACATGTCGCAGAGCCATATCTATTTATATTGATGATACTGTCAGTTTCATTGATAGTCGTGATCGCAATGCAACATGGGACATTAAAATTACAAAAGTCACTGGTGCATAAAATATTATATTGGTTCGCAGACGGCGGCATAAGATTTGAATGTTTTATTCTATGAATACATGTAACAAAACGCGCCGATAAATTCTACTCTGTCAAACTAAGTACATAGTTTTTAAACTGGAAATCAAAAAAGTTTGAGATCACTGGCAAAAGCTGAGGCATTTTCAAAATTTAACTTAATCAAGAGAATTTTAACGTTATATTTTTTTTACTTAAAAAATACACTTTCTGAAATGAAAATAAAATTAGTTTTATTTTTTAGTATAAAAAAAATAATAATTCAATCCTAAAGCGATCGTAATATAACTTTGATAGAAATAAAAAGATAGTATAACCAAACTTAAAAACCTTTTATTAATAAATTGTTGTTTCTCTAATACAAAATAACTCCTCCTGTGGCTCGAACACATGCGGAGATCCTCCTGGGCATGCTGAGGATCAAGTTATCCAGCATTTCTTGGGGTAACCTGTCCCATTCTTGAACAGCAGCTTCCCTGAGCTGCGGCTCTGTCTGGGGTGGTGACTGGCGGTTTCAAACAGCTCGCTTAAGAACATCACACGCGTGCTCTATTGGGTTTAAGTCAGGAGAGCCGGCGGCAGGCCAGTCTAACCTTGTGATTTCGTATTTTTGGAGAACAACATGGACTCGTTGAGCTCGATGTGCGGGCGCATTATCGTCAACCGGTAGTTAGTATAATATGGTTTAATCGGAAAGGTCTGACGATTCCATTAATAGCGACTGTTTTGTATCTGTCTGCCGTCATGAAACCTTGATAAAGGATTAAAGGCGTTCTAGCCCCAATCATAATACCACCCCAAAAGGGACACTGATTTCCCGCCTTGCTAAACCGTTACAGTGGCCGTTCTTTACCTTTCAGAGTCTCCAGGTCTTCTCCAAACACGGACACGTCGGTTATCTGGATGAGTACTGATTCGCGATTCGTCAACGAAGAGGTAGTTTTGCCAAATGTTTTCCTCTTCGTCTTCTTCGTTTTGCGGGAGCCTAGCCCACTGTAATCTCCGTCGCTGACGTTCCCGCTAATTCAAATGTGCTCGCCAAGACCTCCGTGCTCGTAATCCAGCCTTGTGTAAGCAAATTCCGAATGGTCTGAGTGCTAACTTCAAGTCCGGAGGCGGCTCGTATTTCTGCTTTTAATTGAGTGGCGTTTATTGTTGGGTCGCGGGCTACCAGCAACCTGATGTAGCGCTTCTGAGCAGCTGTCAAAACCGTTGGGCGACCGCTGCGGGGTCGATCAGCTAAATTACCCATGCCGTGGTACCTCTGCAACGTGGTTACTACACAGCATTGGGATATGGCAACTATGCGTGCTATTTCTCTCGTTCCTCCTTTTTAAAGTTACAATTCTGGCTCGTAAAATATCTGAAAATCCTAGTGGCATTCTTCAAATCACAACTTTCCGTGAAAAATAAAATATATTCGATAATATTGACTAAGTCAGATTTATGAATGAGCGTCAGCTTGGATTGCATGTCTTTTTATATGGAAAAACAATTGAATTATTTTATTGTTTTACATTCTAATTCTAATTTTAAAATTAAGAATCTTATCAGAAAAAGAAATTACAATCTATTTTTTAAAGTGATCGCAAACTTTTTTTGATGTGTGTATGTATTGTTAACAGGCTCTTTTGATCGCAAATAGTGGATAAATTAGCCAGTTTCACATTAGGGGAGGGCTAAGGGAGCTAAAAAAAATCACTGATCTTAAAAGCGGTTAAGTGCTAATTATGCATAATGCAGACTCTCGTCTTCGCTTTGGAGTGATATTATGGGGGAATAGTAGACGTGGGGCGATTATTCTCCCAACAAAAAAATGTATACTTGCCCAACTTACACTCGAGGACTAGCTGTAGGGATTATTTTGTTAAATATGGTATATTGACTTTGACTTGTCTGTACATTTTTGAGATATGCGCATTAGTGAAAAATAACATCGATTGGTTCCCTCAATATCCACGGCCCGAAAACTTAAGACCAAAAAAAATTTTCAACGATTATGTCAAAATTAGAAATTTTATACAGGTCCGTATTCAATGTCGGTAAAAATACATAATAAAATTCCATTCAGTATTAAAAAAGAATGGGAAAGGTTGGGAAAACAAGCGAGTTTCCCGACCGATGATAAGCAGCCACCAGTCGTCAATATATAAAGCGAAGCCCCCTGCAGCGTCTTTTTGTCAGTATGATCCCGACAACCTCAACTACTGAACAAATTCTCATGCGATTTTCAACATCAGTTGATTTCGATCATCGGCCATTGGTTCGATTATTATCAACCCAAAGGAGATTGCTCAAATTGGCCCAAAGGCACAAAAAATATTGACATATACGGTAATTCTTGGCGTAATTTATAATTTAATTTACAGTCATTAGATTTCAACGGACACCTTTTATATAATATATTCACTTTAAAAAGGACTTTTATTTACCGGTTTGGAAAACATACGAATTATTTTTAATGGCTATGGGTGTAGTAACATTCACCCAAAGACTGATTGAAGTTGTTTATATAACATAAAAACAAATCTATTTTGAAAAGATCGATAAAATAAATCATTTTTTTTATTACACTGTGGTATTAATATCCACAACTATATTATCATTTTCACTACATGCAAATGTGTTAAGACAAATTATAGATGGTAGGCGACATCATAAAGTCTATTGCCATACATTTTTCGCCAAACACCTCCATAAACACATTATAATCTGTATATATGTTAGACTTTAAGGTATCTATCTATGGGCCTACGTTCCCTGACTATAAATTAATAAATAAATAAAATTATAAGGTGTGATACACTAAAAATCTAAAATATGATTATGTTAAAAACATAACAAAAATAATGAAACTACTGAATATTTGGCTATAGAACCTAAATCTCTTAGCTTTCTTTGGTTAACGAGAGTTTAAAAATGCTCTCTAATCTGTGGCTCATTCACAATCATCACACAGTTTCTGTCACAGAGTCACCTTATCATAACCGGAAATGCATAGATGACACCTGATTTTAAAAGTTACTCTTGTGCATTAACTTTAAAAACAGGCAACTATGTGTTAATCT